TATATGCTAAACATAAACTTGATATTTCTAAACATAAATGAGGAAACCTCATCAAAAGATACAAAAATCAATAAATAAAGAAAATGATTCTTCACTGTTACCCACATATTTTTTCCTGTAGTTACCATCTACTACCACTTTCCTTCAGCTTAAAAAACTTTCTACATTTCTTTAGTACAGGTCTAAATACTTTCAGCTTTAATTCATTTGAAAATATCTGGTACCAAAGTTAACAGCTAATATTTATTTTTTAAAATTATTTTTATTAATTACAGTTTATTCACTTTGTATCTTCCCTATAGCTTTCTCCCCCCTCCCCTCCCAACCCCATCCTCCCACCCTCTACCACATCTGTGCTCCTCCCCCAGTCCACTGATAAGGGAAGTCCTTCTCCCCTTCCCTCTGATCCTAGCCTATCAGGTCTCATTAGGAGTGGCTGCATTGTCTTCTTCTGTGGCCTGGTAAGGCTGCTCTCCCCTCAGGGGGAGGTGATCAAATGGCAGAACAATCAGTTCCTGTCAGAGATAGTCCCTGTTCCCATTACTATGAACCCACTTGGACAATGAACTGCCATGGTCTACATCTGTGCAGTGGTTCCAGGCCATCTCCATGAGTGGTCCTTGGCTGGAGTATCAATCTCAGCAAAGACCCCTGTGCCCAGACTTTCTGGTTCTGTTGCTCTCCTTGTGGAAGTTCTGTGTTCTCCAGGTCTTACTATCTCCCCCTTCTTTCATAAGATTCCCTGCACTCTGCCCAAAGTTTAGCCATGAGCCTTAGCATCTGCCTTGATACCCTGCAGGGTAGAGACTTTCAGAGGCCCCATGTGGTAGGCTCCTGTCCTGTTCCCTGTTTTCTCCCTCCTCCGTTGTCCATCCTCTTTCCTTTCTGAATGGGGATTGAGCGTCTTAGCCAGAGTCCTCTTTCCTTAGGTGTACAGATTTTAGTATACTAATCCTATATTATATGTTTAGCATCTACTGATGAGTGAGTATATACCCTGTGTGTCTTTCTGCTTCTAGGATAGCTCACTCAGGATTATCTTTTCCAGTTCCCACCATTTACCTTCTTTTGGGGTTGTATATAGGAAATATTTCTTTTGTAAATACTAAAACTTGTGTTTCATTCCTATGATGGTTAATCTGTTTTTAAAATTGATGACTGTCATGCTTGTAACATTTTTTCTCTGTGTTTGTCTCTCAATAGAGAAATAAAAATATTAGATGGATGAAAAAAAAAAAGAAAAAGAAATAAAATCTGTAACAAGTTAAAAATAAAACTACTGTATCTCAAAAAAAAGAAAAAGAAAAAGAAAATGTCTGTTTTACTTTCACTTGATAATAATGTTCTAGGTTGACAATGCCGCCCCCCCCTCCACTGGCACTTTCAGGATAACATTCATTGGTTTCTGGCTTATGCTGATCCTGATACAAGTTAGTGACTTTCGTCATTTTTCCCCCATGGGTGACATGTCCTTTTCTCTCAGGCTACTTTTAAGATTTTTGTGCTTTGGTTTTCAGCAAACTGATAACATATCTAGTGATGATTTTTTTTTTCTTTGTTAGTATTACTTGGGATTGGTTGGACTTCTTGATATATGGGTCTGTATTTCCAACAATTCTGGCCATTATTTCCTACCCTAATCTTCACCCTCTAACACTGCAAACACGCAAAGGTAAAACTGAAAGAAATTAGAACAGGAAGATTAGTTTGTTGTCACTACAGTAGATTAGCCTGTTGTCACTGTACTTTGGTTTGGATGGGTTAAAACAATCTATGATCAGGTTCACTGATCCTCTCTAGGGTATACAATTTACTACTTATTCCATCTGGTAATGTTTTTATCTCAGATACTAATTTTTGTCCACTTTTATTTTGCTTATGCATCACACTTTCAGACTTTTCAAAGCATTATAACTACATGCTAGACTTTGAAGGTGTGCATTATTATTGAAATCTTACTTTAAAGAGAGGTGAGATCGTCAGTCAATTACTTAACAAGTGGATCAGCAATCCTCATTTAGAAAGACAAATGGGATGTGCATTGAACATAGGACAGGAGCCTACCGCAGAAGGCATCTGAGAGACTCTACCTAGCAGTGTTTCAAAGCAGATACTAAGACTCATAACCAAACCTTCGTCAGAGTGCAGGGAATCATATGAAAGAAGGGGAGTTAGTATGATATGGAAAGGATAGGAGCTCTACAAGGACCAAATATATCCGGGCACAGGGTCTTTTCTGAGACTGACACTCAACCAAGGACCATCTGTGGATATAACCTAGAACTTCTGCTCGGATGTGGCCCGTGGTAGCTCAGTAACCAAGTAGTTTCCCAAAGTAAGGGGAACAAGGACTAATTCTAACAGGATTTCAAGGGCAGGCTGTTTGACACCCCACCCCCTTCAAGGGAGGAGTAGTCCTGTTAGGCCACAGAGGAGGACTTTGCAGCCAGCCCTGAAGATACCTGATAAAACAAGGTCAAATGAAAGGGGAGGAGGTCCTCCCCTATCAGTGGACTTGGAAAGGGGCAGGGAGGAGACCAGAGAGGAACTGTAGGGTTGGGGAGTGAATGAGAGAGCTGGATACAGCTGAGACACAGAGTTAACAAAATGTAACTAATAAGAAAAATAAAATTTAAAAAAACAAAACAAAACAAAACAAAAAACAGGTGGATCAGCTCAATTCAGGAGGGCCTTTGGGGGTTTCCTGTTTTGGAGGTGAACCACTGCTCTATGATTAAAAGGGCTATGCTCCTAAAGCATAAAGTCACATCTGAAACCACAGGATACTTTGGCATGTTCTCTCTCCATTCCCAAATATTTGCATATCCTTTCAGAATCTCCAATCAGCAATCAGTACAACAGTGGTTGTTTTCTCTAAGGCTTGTTGTGTGTGTTTGACCAAGGGGTCAAGCAACTCTGCTTTAAATTTTCTAAGCCTCCTTTTACATGCAATTTCCTTCTCTCTAGTACCCTAACTCACAAGTTTCAGAAGCCTCTACCTCCCTGACCTCTGATCTCTGATTCCTCTGATTCTTTTGGACTTCACTTCGCTTTGGCAGTACCTTGAAAAGCACCCATCAAGAACAGCAAGAAACAAGTGGAACAAACCTCATTTTCTGCTAACCATTTTACCTGAGTCCATTCAGATTTATAGTGCTTACTGCAAAAGGTAATTTCAACATGGCCAAAATTATGAGTCCAGAATTCCAGCAATATTTGAAAATGCTTTAACATGTTATTTTATATCATGAAAGCATGTTTCATGTCATGTGGCAAACATTTCTATAAGCAAACAAGGATGGAAAGTGTTAAATAACCAGCTCCAACCCATAAAGATATTTAATTCAAAGATATTTGATTCAATAATTGTTGAGGGTTGTTCTTATGCTAGTCCTCAAGATCTGGTTAAACCTATCCTTGTTGTGTAAATCTGCCTAAGTCATTATTTATTTGATTGGTTGATTAAAAAGTTTATACCTGGGCAGGGCAGGGTAGATGTGGCTAAGGTTCCTGGGCTGTGGACAGTAAAATCACTGGAGACAGACGGAGGGGAAGAAAGGAAGAAAGAGGACGCCACAATGGGTTAGCATGGAGAAGAAATCCCATGGACTAGGAGGAAGGACTCCAATAATGGCATAAAAAGGTCCAGATGAAGAATACAAGCAAGTACCATGGGACTATGAATAGAAGATAGTTCAGATAGGGATGGAAAGGAGGATGGCATTGAATGGGGGCTGGGAGATGGATGGAGCGGTTATTGAGACAGAGTAAGTGAAATATCTGCCCGGCCCAAGATAAATAAGGCAATTATAAATCTAACAGGTGTCTATATTTTATTATTTGAGATAGTGGGTTAAATAATACTGCCATGATAATCCTAAGGCTAAAATAAATATTACATAGCCCAACACTTATTTTTTATTTACTACAATACATTTTTCAAGCACCTATTACAAGTACATAGTAACTGCATATTAGTAAAAAGAAACCAGACAAAGTAGATTCAGTCCATCTAAACAGAACAAATGCACTTCACCAGATTCCCAAAAATAAGTATAGAAAATGAGTTACTAAGAATCAATCTTATTCAATCTACCAGAAGCATACACAGCAGATATTCTCAAAAATGACTACAATTTGCATTCATGATTTATTTACCACTGCAAACATGCCTATTTTCTGTGCAAGTGATTTTATTTCAACATAGTTACATTTTTCAATTTTCTACATGTACTTACCTTTTTAATATTAAGTAGATATTACCATTTCTACTTTGCTATGTTAAACTTGTTTTGGCTAACTCTTAAATGCATAACTAATTTTCATCTGGCCAAATCAAATATATTTTTTCTAGCAAAGATAAAAATATAATGCACTTTCAAAATGCCATGTAAGCAGTATAATATCAAACAGTAATGTAATTCCTTTGCTCTTCAACAAATTAAAGTGATACATTTGTAACCACATATTTATTATCATCTCATAGAATAAGCTCCTGACCTGCCTGGAAAAGGTGATTGTAAGAAAATAGTGAAATTAAGCTCAGCCATAGTCATAAAATAGTTTTAAAACATTTTAATATTAATTATCTCCCCCCACACACACTTCTCTTTCTTTTACAACAGGGTCTCATTTCATAGCAATGGCTAGCAATTAACTCTCTACAAATCCCAGAATGGCCACAAACTTATGATCTTCCTCTATTAACCACCCAAGTTATTTATGAGCTAAATATATGACTAATTTCAATGAAATAAAGAACAAATAAATAGAAATCCTGATAGTATATATCTTTGATTGTGACATATTGAGAATCAGCTCTTCTGCTTCTTAAAGCCTGACCCCCCAAAATCATAATAATAATAATAAATAATATTAATCATAAAAGTTCATTAGACATCCAGCTTGTGTTTCTTAAGGTAAAAATTTGGGTGACTGCTTTCTATTGCTCTCCACTGTTGTCCCCAATTATACAATATCTTTGTATAAAGAGCCCTTACCTGCAGCACATCTTGGATCTTCACCCACACATCTGCCATGTCATATAATTTGATGTCTTCCTGCTGTGTTGGCTGGGTCCCAACAGAGTCCTGCAGGTACCCCAACACCACACAGTGTGCAGTGGCTACAGCATTAAACTTATCAAACAAAAGTTCCAGCAGTTCTAGAAGTAACCTGTGGAAAAACAAACCAACAAACAAATAAATAACACTTACATAAACACATACAACATACATGAATGGTTTACAACTTGCCTGCAAGAAAGAAAATATCACCTCCAGTGAAAAGCCCATCACAGTGTGAACAGTTAAAACTTCACATTCCAACAGATTTGATTTTGAACAGCTGCTCTATCTAAGCAATTTTTTATACCTATCTAGTCTCAGATTACTGTCACTAAATGAAGATGACTTAAGAATTTATAAATCTATTATAAAATCCCTAAACCAGCAGCCTAATAAACACAGTACCTTCTCAGGGTCTTTGAGGTTACAGAATCACAACTATTCTGTATTCATATAGGTGGTTTCCAATGAATTCTGACAAATTTTTCAGACAGCAGTTCACATGCTATACAAAATATGCTATTATCCAGCAACAAATGGAGAGCTTTGGTAAGGGCACTAATCCTATAACTCATGGGAAGCTGTGCTTACTATCATTCAAATAAGGTGCCTAAGGTGTCTGGAAAAAAAAAAATAGACACCTGCTGAGCAATCTGACTTTCACTACAGGGAGCAGCTTAGGCATCGCATTATCTCATTTATCATAGATATGCTGGACACATATTATTACATTAATTCTATACACTCAAGGACACAAAACGAGGTTGAAAAGCAGCTAGTCTGAGAGTAAGAGTTGATTTTCAAGCCAGTGCATTTGGCCACCTACCTCTCACTGTCATTCTAGAATACAGATGTGTATTTAGAAAGCACAGTGCTTTCTGTCATGGATGTAAAGTAATTCCTCTACCACACAGCTTTATAGCTTTACGAATCCCTCTCAACTTGGAGAATAGTTCAAACTAGTTGAACTTACCACATGTGGCTTACATAGGTAGCTTAACAAATACAGGTCACATTTAACTTTATACAGGTATTCTGCCTCCCCTCTCCATTATTTCTTTTTCAGAGTAGAGTCTACAATACATATTTCTAGACTCAAGACCACTTAGAAGATGGTTAGCAAATATTTGCTGAATAAATTTAATGACTATATCATAAATGAATATTAAAAACCTGGGACTGTGAGCCTCATTGTATATTTCTCAGTTCCGGATCCTAAACAAACTGATGAGCCAAACTGCAAAGTAGAACAGTAAAGCAAAGGTGCTTTATGAGAGTGTCAATTAACAAGACTTTATTGCCATAAGTGGAGGATACAACCATAATCTCACAAGAACTCACAGCATATTATCTATTCCTATGGCTTCTTTATTGCCCAATTGTTGTAATTAATGTGCCAATGTGACAGCCCATAACCACTCTATGATAAAACTCTAATATCTATTTGACATTGCAATTTCAACAGGAGAGAATCAATGGTATTTATGTTGTGTTTCAAGCATGCAGTAGACTTGCATAATCTAAAAATTACACGTTGAGTAGGTAGGTAAACAGGAGCCATTTTACCTTTTGTAAGATAACTTTATCTTTTCAATATCAGCTGAGATTTATACCTACATATGTCATATTTTATTTTTATTCTGGAAAGACTCACAAAAACCAGCAGAGAGAAAACTTACCTAACTAAGCATAACAGCTAGAGCAGTAAATTCAGTATTAAGAAAAAAACTGGTATAAAACTGAGATCACACACAGTAATAGTAAATAGTAAACAACTGAAGTTTCTACTTAAAATTGCTGTTCGAATGTTAGAATATGGCTCCAAAGTATGAGTCTGTAAGCAGTGTTTCACAGATAGCAAAATAAAAAACATTAAAGCAATTTAACTGTTTTTTTTTAACTCTATTGATAATGAACTCTCAGGGTTGCTATATTTCTGTTATTACTCTGTTGAAATAGTAGTTATATCATCCAATGACCTTTCTGACAAAAGTGAATCTTTAATTTTCACTTAGCACTGTTTGAAAATACATTAATTGATGACATTCAAAAGTCAAGAGGATACTGAGGTCCAGCTTTCCAGTATCTTGAAGCTCTGGCTCTGGGTTCAGAGCTGTGAACGAGCAAGTGAGCAGAAACACAGGAAATGAGGTAGCTCCTCTAAGAATAATGATTGTCTCCACAAACGCTGCCCTCCACAGCTGTGCATCTTATCTGCCAGTTACCAGAGCACCTTACTGAGCAACTGAGCAGAAGCAGGGTTTCTTGATAGAGGCCCAGTGAAGAAATGAGGTGAAATATTAATTAAAAAAATTTGCTTATAGAGAAAAACAAAAATATCAAAATAATAATAATAATAGAAAAGGGCTTCTAAGATAGCAGAACCAGTGTGTATCATACCTGAGGGGCAGCAGATCAGAGATTGTGAAACCTGTGAGTAAACAGGCAGCTGGCTCCAAAATACAAACTTTGGTGCTTCCAGACAGAGGTGTCATCCCAGAATAAGGGGACAATCAGATCCAGGAGCCTCCCACACACAGGCCGTCTACTGTGAGTTCTCTAGCCTTTCCTCATACTGCTGGTCCCCAGTTCCAGGGACTCTCACCTCCAGCAGCCAGATATCAGACCCCTCCCCCCACACTTCTTCCTCCACATCCACACCCACCTCCAAGGGCAGCATCTGGATGCCTGGAATAGTATCAAAACATCCAAAACAGAGTTCTACAAGACCCTGCGGAGAACAGGTGGACAATAAAATCAGAAGGAATCTGGATCCAAGATGGCAGAGTCCAGATGAATCTGAGTCCCAGGAGCACAGTGTCCGGAAGGCCTGTAAGCCACAGCTCAGCTGCCTTCTAAGGCATGGGAACTTCAACACCCCAGCGGCTGCTACCTGAGCAGACCCACACCAAACTCCCACAGTTACCACCTAAGGTGCCAATGCCTTGTCTTTCAAGGCACCCATACCTATGCCCACTCCCTGCCTTCAAAGCAGCCTCACCTGCCCCCCCCTGCCCTTCAAAGTACTCGTACCTTGATCCTTACCCCTGTCCTTCAAGGAACCCAGGCATGTGCCCATGCCCCTGCCCTTCAAGGCACCTGTACCCAAGCCATGCCTTCCTTCCAAAACATTCACCCCAGCATGGCTGCATCTGAAATGCCAGCACCCATTTGTGTTCCCCTAGACCTCTCTCATCATCCTAAAGACTACTCCAGACTCCAGAGCATGGCAGATCCAGACTACGGTGCACATTCCAGGAACAAACAGCCAAGACTACAGACAACAAAACCGCTAAAAGCCAACACAAGAACACAATCAACAAAAAACAGGACATCATAGCTCCACCAGAAACCAAAAAAAAAAAAAAAAAAAAAAAAAAACAATGGACCTTCTTATGCCAGTGGATCTTCAAATGCAACTGAAACACAGGAAAATGACCTTGAATCTATGCATATGCAGTTATTAGAGGCATACGAAGAGTAAATGAATAAATATCTCAAAGAAATACAGGAAAATACAACCAAAGAAATGAAGGTCAACAAGAACAGACAGGAAAACACAATAAAACAAGTGAAGGAAATAAATAAAAGTGTTCAAGACCTGAAAACAGAATTAAAATCAAAAAAGAAAACACGAACTGAGAATACCACAGAGACTGAGAACTTAGAGACGAGATCAGAAACAACAAAAGCAAGCATCACCAACAGAATACAAGAGATGAAGTAGTGAATCTCACACAAGGTACAATTGATTCCTTTAATTAATCTCTCAAAGAAAATATTAAAAAGAAAAAAATTACTGACACAAAACACCCAAGAAATCAGAGATACCATGAAAAGACAAAACTTAAGAATAATAAGGAATAGATGAAAAAGAAGATTCCAGGCTCCGAGGTCCAGAAAATATTTTCATGAAAATCAACCCCAACCAAAAGAAAGAGACGCCCTTACACAGAGGCCTACAGAACACCAAATACTAGACCAGAAAAGAAATCTCACATAATAATCAAAATACTAAATCTATAGAAAAAAGAAAATATTAAGAGCAGCAAGGGAAAAAGGCCAAGTAACATATGAAGGTACACCTGAAATATAAGAATCACACCTAACTTCTCAACAGAGACCATAAGCCAGAAGGGCCTGGGCAGGTGTGATGTAGACACTAAGAGACCACAGATGCCAACCCAGACTACTATAGCCAGCAAAACATTCAATCATCATAGATGGAGAAAACAAGATATTCCATGACTAAACTAAATTTAAAAAATATCTATCAACCCAACCCTACAGTAGATACTAAAGAAAAAAAAAAAAAAAAACAAAACAAAAAACTCCAACCCAATGAGATCAACTACACCTAAGAAAACAAAATACATAGATAACTTCACAACATCAAAACCAAAAGACAACAAGCAAACAAACATACAATCACCACCAACTCCACAATACAATAAAAGGAAATATCAATATCAACGGACTCAACTCTCAAATAGAACGACACAGGGTAACAGAATGTTTGCAGAAACAGGATTCAAAATTCTGCCGCATTCAGGAAACACACAGTAAAAAAAGACATTACCTCAGAGTAAAGGACTGGAAAAGAGTTTTCCGAGCAAAGGACCCAAGAAAGAAGCTGGAGTAGACATTCGATTGAATAAAATAGACTTTCAATCAAAATTAATCAAAAGAGATGGTGTAAGATACTTCATTTTCATTAAAGGAAAAGTCCACCAAGAAGACATCACAATCCTGAACATCTATGCCCCAAATACAAGAGCACCTGCATTCGTACAAGAAACATTATTAAACTTTAAATCACACATTGCTTACAATAGAGGGAGACTTCAAGACTCCACTGACAACGATGGACAGATCAGAGACAGAAGCTGAATACAAAAATAATGAAGCTAACAGAGGTCATGAATCAAATGGACACAATAGATTTCTATAAAACTTTTCACCCAAACCAAAAATATGTATACTTTCTTCTCAGCACCACATGGAACATTCTCCAAAATTGACTATATAGTTGGTCACAAAGCAAACCTCAACCAACACAAAAAAAATTAAATTAACACATTGTTCTTAATCAGATTGCCATTGATTAAA